TTTCCTCAAATGTGTCCTGAAGTATGTGTAGATTTTCCAAATTGCATTAAAACTGCAACGATCTAAAACGAGATTTTGTGTGTTTCTTTTTGGACACTTACAGAAAAAAGGTCAAATGTGTTCAATATTGCAATAAATTAGAGTCACTCTCTGCTGCTAGTTTACGATTGAATGGCGTGAAGTCGACAATAACATGCCGTCTGCTGCTGATAATGACTACTGACTGTAAAATGAACAGCAAAAATCAAAAGCCCAACCTGTGGCTGTCTACATGCACAGAAATCTCCAGCCAGACCTACATCAATTTGAAAGAGGAATTCCTCCACTGATAGTGATGTAGTTGCTGCACCCGAGGTTTATGTAGGAGCATAACCAGAAAACAGCCAGTTTAGTGGAGTCCGCTGTTGTACTGAGACACTGCAGACATGTTGCACAGTGTGACTCGGATATGCTTTGGCAATCGGCCGGATTTGGGAATTAGCAAATATTTGCAAGCCTTAGCAAATCTGAGAGTGAATGCAGTGCGGTTATTAGGATACACATTGCTTCCAACCAGCAATTTGGTTACCACAACTACTTGTAATCTGTCACTGAATTAGGAGGCTGGTTTGGTGTGACTAGAGCCATAAAAGCAAAACAAAAAACAGCTTGGCATATGAACTGTGCAGGATTTCGTTTTTCTTTTAAGGACGGAGGTTCTCCGAGTATGTTTGCAGTTCCCTAAGAATACAGACTCATTTTATATTAGTGGTTTATAGCTTGATGACTTGATTCACTTGTTAGCAAGACATTTGCTACGAGTCTCCACAGCAACTCCTGACGAAGGCACCTGCACGTTGTTTTAACTTCTAAGTAAATAATGATCAAATGACTCGTATGTGCTTTACATAATAGTTAAAAAGAGCATTTTGAGCTCAAACTACCTCACTGACTGACTTTGTGTGTAGATGTGTTTCACAGTTATATGGGCGGGAAAGTTTGCGTGAGTGTGCGCTGTGTATTTGTTTGCAAAGACCATCCATGTTTTCTTGGTTAAAAGCTTTTTATTGGTTACAATAATTCATGGCAACGTATCAGTATCACCACGCCACTGTACAAATACAAAAAAAAAAAAAAAAAAGGTCTGGTGTGAAAAAAAAGACTATAAAAATTATTCCATAACAAGTGATTATAATTTCACACAATAGCACTGTAAGAGAATTATCATGGCACCAAGTCCCTGGTCTTTACTGGCTTAAAACATAATAAATAAAAAAGGAAGTTTCAGAACAGTAAGTCAAAGTAGATTTGAAGGGCAGTGCATTTTCTTGTGACCATGCGGTGGCGGCGGTGGTCCTGTAATGCTAATGGGGAATACTTTTTTCCTCCGATGAGCGACTTTCAGAAACAACTTTTCCATTTTCTGATGAACTTGCACGGCCTTTGCCAAAAATACTGCGAACGCGTGCAGCAATGACGTTTGCAAGCCTGCTCTGAGGTTCAACATCTGCACTGCATGCGCCAAAGCTGCTGAAAAACAACAGCGTGCAGTCAAGTCTACTTCAATAATGAACACACTGCGGTTTTTGGTACTTTTGGACTCTAAAAGTATCAAATAAGGACATCACGTAGGGCTGCGGGGATGGAAAAGACTTCAGGTAAATACAACAGTTAGATGAAGTCAAGCACCTGTATTTGTTTTTTTTTTTTGACTGAAGAATTTCCTGCTCTACTTGCATGAGCGAACGGCACAGGCACATAAAAGGATTACTGTTCCCGGGTTCCAGCTGCTAATAGTGCTGAATTACAGAGCGACACGATGGTTGTCTGCTAAGTCACTGTCAGTAATGCAGACAACACCCCCCCCCCCACACACACACACACACACTCCCTTCCTTTTAAGCTGTTAAGGGCTGAGGTGTTTTTTTTTTTTCACAGCTAATGTTGGCAAATGAAAGTGAAAAAACTAAAGGAACAGCTCAACATTGTGGGAAAGGTGTCTACTCACTTCCTGGCACGGGGACTCGCACGCTAAGATGACAGAGATGGATCCTATTTATTCTTTAAAAGCGCCGAAAGGAAGGCAAAATCTCACAACAATATTTAGAGGCTGCATATTTCTGTACAGTCATCGTTTGCCTCTCTAGGAAACCCTGCCTTTCATTATTCTTCATTGTGTGGATCTCAGAATAAAGCGCTATGGCTGAATGCAGCTCAGGTAGTATGAATACGAGTCCATTTAATCTTGAAGTTGTTTCTGTTTTTACAGGAAAAATGTTGAGAAAAGTGTTTTTCCTCATTAAGAGAAGCACTTTTAATTGTGACAAAGGCCGTTATGAAGCTGAACACAAACACGCAGCATCTAGTTACTGTCAGGCATCACAGACAGTGCACCTCTACCAGTTTACAGACTCAGCTGCTCAGAGTCACACTAGATTAATAAATAAAGTCTAATTTGTACATTTTGGTCACGTTATGCTAATGACACACGAGTGTCAAGTAATTAACCCACGATCGTGCAGTTTGAAGGCCACACTCTTATCACAAACACCAGGATGGAGGCTTTGGATGTTCCTGGTGATGAATTGGCTGTTTAACCCTGATGCATCACGTCTGATATGTGTGGTTTTGTGAGTTTGAGACTTCCACATCGTTACTGTGAATTTTTCCCAGTGGAAGAAATGTCTCAATACATTTTTAAGCAATAAATTGGAAAAACAAACCCATTCATGTATTATGTTGTCTGGTTTCTGTGACAGTCTGACTATTACAGTTTGTATTTACAGTGCCATCCAGTGACATTTTAATTAACTTTAATATTCTGATACGACTGCAAGAAAGCACATTTCCTAAAATTTCATACTGCTTCTTTAAATTCAAGCTGAGGACCTGTGAACACCTTATGTCCACCGACCTGAATAGAAAAATGAGCTCTGTCAGCACTCTGGGAAAACTCATCGTCCTCTCCTCATCATCACCATCACATGTAAGCAGCCGCCCTGTTTGATCATCAAACACCAGACTGGATTTAAAATCAGACGCTGAGGTGACTTTTGATTTGATGGAGGAAGAGGAGGAGGCTGCCACTGGAGTACAGTGAGCTAACGTGTAGTTTTCAGTTCACAGCTCAAGGTCTGTGGGTAACTTTGGCGCCAGTCTAACACTTGGATCTATACGTTATCCACAAACGTCATCAGATTACACCCCACACACACCTCACAAAGATATTCTCAGGTTCAAAAACTAGAACTGCTTTTTAACATTTGCTGAAAAAGGACTTTCATGATGCAAAGCTGTGACGAAGCAGCGGGTCAGTAGACTGACACGGGGGCAAACGGGCATCTCACACATACTACAAACTGATCTGCAGTAGTAATATTAGAAAGCAGAGTTGTATAAAAGGTGCTGCTGAGCACTCGTTCTAAGCCGTCTGTGGTGTTGCGGTGGGTTTTCTGCAGGCACGCCTTCGTTTTGTAGTGTTCTACGGGGAAAACGTTCTTATTGATCAGCGCCTAAACAGGTAGCGTGAGAGAAAAACATTACGGTAGCTGAAGCTAGTTTAACCTCCGATTATGAATGATATCGTAAGGCAGAATGGAGACACGATAGCTCCACATCCACAGGTGCACCAACCCTCGTTATCCAGCCGTGCGGCTCAATGTTTACATCTATAAATAGGCACCTGAGACAGCTGATGGATAGGTCCAACTCACACACGTCACATGTGTGAGTGCTTAAAGCCTTTTAAGGAGCTGAGAATAATGGAAGATGCACGATAAGAAAATACTTAAATCAGAATTACCACGTCTATGTGTAAATAAGTCACGTGTGCTCGACGGTTTTCTAGCTCTCTACTAAGTGTACATTTCACTTGCCATATGTAACAGTTCATAATGTTTCTGTTGAAAACAGTGAAAGTGTTAAACCCTTAAAAATGTGTAGTTTTGTTTTTTCTTCTTGTTACAGGCCTGTGATGGCACTGCTGTGACTTTGGGAGTGGCTGCCATGGTTCCAGTCACACACCTTGTTAATGACAAACAACCCATCCTTCATTGAAAAGAAACGTCACGGTGAGCTGTGGAAGTCATCCCTCCTTCTGATGGACTCACTAATGTCCTTGGCGGTCCTGACATGAAGCTCCTCCTTTAAAAGGCCGCTCGGGGATAAGGTGTCCACTTGCAGCGCAAGGACACCGGCGTCATTTGAAGGGCGGTGCGTGATCTCAGATTGCGTAGGCCGCACGAAACAGGGATGCAACGACCTCCTTCAATCCTATCATTGCGACCGAAGCGGCCCCCTGAGCATCCACAGTCTACTCAAGCAGGGCCTCGGATAAAATAAAGTTTTCTATCTGAGTCTACAATTCACCAGTTTCTACGTTGGGGTTACAGCTGGATCCAGACTTAAACCACAGCACTCCAATCACTTCCTTCCAAAATAAAAGACTGGTGGGAACGCTGGGATTCAGGCTTTTTTTGTTGGTTTTTGTTCTTTTTTTAAAAAGAGAGCGATCACAGCCATCATTGACATGAATGCAACATTTACAGGTACAGGGTGCATGAATGATGTCACCACCTGTAACCATGACACAGAGATACAGGTGAATAAGGTGAGTTTGATTTTTGGTTTAGGTGTCAGATCCTGTTTTCCTGCACGATGAATCGGTGCCACTAAATCAACGGGAAAATTTGGAAACGTTACACTGCTTTGTATCCGTTTAAACTCCCACACGATTTGGCATCTTGTTGCATTACATGAGTATGTCCATTCAAAATAAAATACAATATCAAAAATGATATTTATAAAAAAAAAAAACAACTCAAGGGCTGGAAATAATCTAAAAAATATATACATACACATTATATATGCATATATGATGCATATATACACACACAATGCTATACATATATATGTATATACTGTCTTTATATATAAATGTACATGTTAGACACCGATGCTAATCGTGTTGTTAGTCATGGTAACACATACCTTTGGAAAATTATTCGTGTGAGGACCAAATCTTCTTTTCTGTAACATTTTTACTGGACGCTCTGACTTCTGCTGCTGAGCAACAGCTCTGTGAACAAAACTAAACATCTGGTGCTTTCTCACAGGTCACCAGCAGAGATGATAACTGGGGGCTGAGTTAAGGAGAGTCAGCTAACACAGTGTGTGCACCCGCCCAGTGATGAGTTGGGATATGCCAGGTGGGGTTGTGGAGGGAGGAGGGGGTAGTTTTTGAGTATGACAGGCTCGTTTAATTCCAGATCCGGAGGAAACTGTCCCAGGAGCCGGTGGCCACAGCCATGCCGTCGCCCGTCACTCCTAAGCAGCTCACTCTGTTGTCGTGGCCCGCTAACACACCTGGAGGGTGAAAAACAAACCACAGTCACAGGTAGGGTCAAAACAAACCTCCATCCCACTGAGAATCGAGACTGCAGGTCAGCAATGACTTTAAAACATCAGCTGTATAAGTGATGCAGGCCTTCATGATGTCTGTATTTATCAGCTCGTGTTTTACATCCGTTATCTCGTCGAAAACAAAAGTCCACTGGTTTCGCTGGTTTGAATTTAAATAAACACACTTCAGAAGAGTTGAATTCAGTTTGCGTGCATTTCCCTCACTTCATCCGAGTCCTTCAACTCTAAATAATACCACAACCTTAATGGGACCAGTCGGACCCTGCTGTTGAACAATAAGAAATCTGAAATGCTGTATTTGCACAAGCAGCAAGGTTCACTGACGTGCACGTCATTAGCTGACAGACGCCACCGATCGTTAAAAAGTCACATGGGCGTCTTCATGAACACAAACTGTTTACAGGAGCTGAATAAGTTCTTGACATTTGTCAGTAGTAGAGAACCCACAATCAGAGTTCAGGTGTGACTCACCTGCACGCTCGCCCTTCAGCGTGTCCCAGACGTTGCAGTTGAAGTCATCATAGCCGGCCAGGAGCAGGCGGCCGCTCTTGGAGAACGCCACGGAGGTGATGCCACAGATAATGTTGTCGTGGCTGTACGTCATCAGCTCCTGGTCTGCACGCAGATCAAACAGCCTGCAGGTGGCGTCATCAGAGCCCGTCCCAAAGGCATTCCCATTGGGGAAAAACTGTCGGGGGGGGACATGGATCGCGCAGATAAGTGATGAATTGTACGTTTTCAGGGTTTTGTCTCTAAGGAAGTCGTTTCTATGACGATGCCTGTTTTACACTGCCAGGAAAAGATTATAATACAGGAAGCATGACAACCAACACACTGATGATTATTGTTGTCAAACACTGACGTCACTGCTCCTCCACAGGAAGGTGCTCAGCTTCAGTCTGTCACTCGCTCTGCTTTCATCATGCTGACATAAAGGCCGTGAACTTTAACCAGGCTTCACGTCGTCTTCAGGTTTTTAAAATGAGCCTTTTTCATTTGACTAAATGATAACTTTATTAATACATTTCAGTCAGACTTCACCCTCCACCCTCTTTGGCTGGGTGCTCTTCCTGCTCAACATTTGCTCCAGTATTATCCTGGTTCTCTGTCAGGCTACGGTGACAGCCGTTTGTTTGGAATAAACACAGGATCAGCCCACAATTTTCCTAGAAGTCTGCTACGCGGAAGCGCTCATAAAAAAGATAAACACCAGACCACATTTACTTCTAAAATGCTGAGACATAATCAATCTGCAATAGTCTTTGTGATCGTCGACGCTCCCGGGTACTCACGCTGACGGCATTGATGTCAGACACGTGGCCGGTGAACGACTGCCTGCACATGCCGTCGCGGATGTCCCACAGCTTGGAAGTGGCGTCGCAGGCTCCCGACACAAAGGTCTTGTAGTCCGGGCTCAAAGACAAGCTCATCACATCGCCTGTATGGCCAGAGAAGCTTGTAGTTTGCTGGCCTGTCTCTATGTCCCACAATGCACTGCAACAAGGAAGCAGGAAAGACATATGAACTCTTTATGAAAAATATGCTTTATTAGACTTTCTTATTCATGGATCGTATTGCAATATCATCGCAGTGATCAAAGGCTCTGCACGCAGCTTTACAAACCTCCTGTGATGACAACATGCACGTTACGCAGCTCGTAAGAGCGTCCGCAGTCTACTGCGAAACATCACTGGAATATTTGAATGGTTTAAACTGCTCACCAGGTGGTGTCTCCAGAGCTGGTGAGTATCTGGTTATCATCCAAGAAACGGCAGCAGGACAAATAACCTGGAGGCAAACAGAAGGTTCCAGATGAGACGAGGACTCCTGTGTGCTCCCCACTCACACTGTGTACTTCCTCTCTCCTACTGTCAGCTCTTCCACATGTTTCACACTGGCTGTGCTTCCTAATGCAACCCTAAAGGGATTAATGTCTCCTCCTGAAATCAAACTGGGGAGGTTGTGTGTGAGCCACTACACTGTAGAAAAGCCCTTATGGCCCCCGTCAGCCAGGACATGCAGGATCTACAGCTACAGTACAGAGGTCAGATTGGATTCAAATGTTTAATATGAAAACAGAATAAATAAATATAAGGGTCGCTGGTCTCTCCCTCCCCCAGACTCACCTGTCTAATCTTCACTATCCGATAAAAGCAACAAATAATCAATAAAAAGGAAAGAAATATGAAAGATCTTATTGAGGGTCTGTGAATTATGACAGAGTATCAGGGCCACATTAAGAAAAATATTATTCATTCTGAGAATAAAGTTGAAATGTGAAGATTGATGAATGAAACGACTCCACGCCAGCCTCTAAACCGGCTCATGTAGATGAGTTAGTGAGACGACTCAAACGTTTCGGATCAGTTCTGGTTTTCCTTCTGACATCCTCACACTTATCCCCACCCTGTGTTTACGAGCTAAAACACAAACGATGACTTTCTGAGACTCTGACGGACAGTTTCACTAACTTTTCCCCTTCATGTGGCTCTAGTGCTCGTTTGTAATTAACCGTCTGTATTTGTTTCTTGGCTGAGCGTGTGCTTACCTGTGTGTCCAGGTAGCTCTCTGGTGACGCGCACGTTGCCTTCGCGGGTCTTCAGGCTGTATATGGAGCAGATGTTGTCCAAACCTCCACAGGCCACGTAGTTTCCAGAAGGGGCGTAGGCGCACGTCATCACCCATGAAGAGCGCAGAGGGATGGCGTGCATCTGATTAAAAGGAAAGTGATTTCGTTATTAAATACAGTGAAAGCGCTTCATGTGGCGCCTTAGTTTGACTAAAAGCTTCAAGGCTGAGTTCAACTGATGAAAATTAGATAAAAACATTATTTTCACTTATAGGAACTTAAGTAAAAAGGAAATGAAAGGATGGATTCTTCTATTTCTTCATCTGGTGCTGTTGCAAACAAAATAAAATAAAGAAAGAAGAAGCCATAATTAACTGATGCATACGTGAGAGATGAGGGTCTGAAATCACTATTTTACATTGCACTGGGTTGGATCTTAATGCAGGTGCAGTTGTAGATGTTACAAAAATCACAACAAAAATAATCAAACCTTATTTGTTGTGTAGCTGTCCCAGATGATTAGCTTCCCATCTTGTGATGCACTGACAAGTAACCTAAAAACGAGGTGAGAAGAGCAGCGTGACTCTGAGCTCGTGGTGAAAAGCCTACACGAGCTAAGCTGCATGCACCCGGTTTCATTAAAAGCAATGAGAGCCAGCCTTGCAAGTTACTGCGCTGCACTGTCAGCCTGGTTACAACGCTCTCACTTCTTCTCCCGCTGGAAGCCTCTTCGTCCCAGGTAATGTCCCACTCTGTGGAATATTTATTACCCCAGTTACATAAAAGTCTACTGTCGGGTGGGAAAGCGCTAGAAAGAAGCAGAGGTGGGGCGGCTAAATGTATCGGCAGCAAAAATAGCCCCGAGAAAAGGTGGAGTCAGAGATGGGTACGATAGGGCGAGATCTACAGATGGTGCAGATGCACAAACAGCTGGAACCCCTCCCTCCTATCCTGACTGGGTGTTTCCATCTCTCCGGGGACAGGAAGTAGCTTGTTGGTGCTGCGGTACAAATCAAGAGGAGAGCTATCATGCTCAAATGTCAGTAGCTGTATACAAAACAAACAGTGGCCACCTGCAGGGTCACCTGGAGGGTGCGAGGCACACCCAGGCACACATTCACACCTACACACCAACGAGGACACACCTGTGCATCTGAGCAGAACCTTCTAATGAAACTGCATCTTATGTTAATAAAAACTACTAACTACAAAAACAGAGACACTTATTAATCTGTATCTACCAACGTATTGCCTAAGGATTAGTGATGTGCATGCACACTCATGGTGACATTAACTGCTCCGTCTCAGTGCTCATAACTGCAGCAAACCGTTAAAAAGGCAGTTTGTAAGCTTGAATTCATCGAGCACTCAGTGCATGTAGCGACAGCTGAAGATTTCCTCACTGGTAAAATTTGAAATATATTAATTATTTTTAAAAATGTTCTGATTTTAGGAACTTACAAACTGCATCCTTAAGAAGATTATTAAATAAGCTGTGGTAGCTGCGATTACTATTGTGCTCACAGTAAAACGGTGCTCGTCCCATGTATGGTGGTATTAGTCATATTAATAGACAGGTAGCAGTAAAAACATGAACAGCAGTAGTGGTAGTAGTTTAGCCCCACACCTGGGACTGTCGTCACTGCACCAGTGCATTGCATTGGAAGACAGACACAAAGAAAGAGAGTGACACACACACACACACAAAGATACAATTTTTAACAGCAATAAATACGAGAGGTTGTGAACCTCACGACTGTAAATTCATTTTTGCTGTGCAGCACACTTTCACCTGGAGCTTGTGTTGGTCTACAAACTGTTAATAAATGTTGTATAAATGAAGCATCAACAGAGATTAACCCAGGATGTGACTGAGGATTTATGGTTATGGCTGCTTTCTAAAGGTGTGTTCATATTTGATTTCAATAAAAAGCAGACCATCAGCCCCACAGGCAGACTCCATGTAGTCTGACCACGGTCATTCTGTTACTGACCAACCAGAACTCAAATTCAGTGCCAGCACTGCCAGCTAGAGACAAAGCAGATCAACTACTGCCAATTCAGAAAAGATGCCATCAGGCGAAGCAGCATCTCCGTGAATACAAGTCCAACATTCACTGCTCTGGACTCCTCCAGCAGAAAACAGCTGAGTGATTAATGTACGAATGCTCCAATACAACAAAAACCAAAGCCGTAGTAAGTAGAGATGGACCGATCCGATATTACGTATCGGTATCGGTCCGATACTGACCTAAATTACTGGATCGGATATCGGAAAAAAGTAATCCGATCCATTAAATATCACGAAAGCACCTCACAAAACTTGCAACGCGCCGTAACTCGCCTCAGAACGTTAGCAGTCGGAGCAGTATGCATCACGTGATAGAGCGGCTGTGGCATGCGGGACCTGTCGGTGGTCTGGATAGCATGTGGAGCTTCGCTAGCAACCCGGCATTTCATCTCCGACAAAGTTATCCCCGAGAGAAGTAAAGCAAGTGTGTAAGTCCATCTCTGAATGTTTGTAAAGCATTCCCACGTTAAGCTTAACAAGCGATATATGGAGCGACTGCCTCTTCTTGCTGCTACTTCAATCATGAAACTGCTTAACGATCAGCTGATCGACTTTTCTGTCGCGAGTCCGTGTCTCTTGTTTGTTTTTGGCCCACTTTGCACCAGAAAGAGGAAACCAGCGGCTGAACAACAGCAACACGTTTAAGCTTGATAAGCTGTTGTTAGAATTTATTTAATATTAATTTCTACTCGAGGATCTTTTTCTACAGCTGACGCTGGTAACTGTGCAGGGGCGGATCTAGCAAAGTTTAGCCAGGGGGGGCGATAGGGCATTAACAGGGAAAAGGGGGCACAAAGACATGCTTTTCTTTCTTATTCTCATTTAAAATGTCGAGCTTTTAATAAATAATTATCTGACACCCAAAGTTTTAATTTGATGCAAAATGAATAGAAGTCAATTACTGTATATAGTGACTATTAAGTCTAATATACCCTAGTAAGCTATAGTACTTTTTCCTTTGGGAAGGTACCATCTGTGCAGTCTGCAATTTTGTTGAAGAAAGATGTTGAATCTATTTAATATTTCTTGAAAAATAATTGATTTCTGTGCATTTTTTTTCACACTGCATCAAATTAAAGTTGAGTACGTCGATTAAGCATCATGAGGTGGAGCGTGAGGGGTGGTTCCCTATTTTTTATTTATTCATTTTTGTTGCTGGGAGTTGGAACCCTATTAGTCAGGTTGCTTAATATTTACGCTAAGTACTCTTTAAAATACCAGAATAGGGAGGATGGTGTAGGTTTAAGTTTATTAGATTGATCAGTATTGCTGAACTATGAAATATTTTTGCATACAGGTATAACAGAATAGCTTTAGTGTAGTTGTTGTTTTAAACTTGAGTATGAACTTATAAAAAATGCAGCAAGATATTTAAAAAACAGTTTTGTTGATTAAAAAACACTATATCGGATTCATATCGGTATCGGCAGATATCCACATTTATGATATCGTATCAGACATAAAAAAGTGGTATCGTGCCATCTCTAGTAGTAAGCAGACGCTCAATGAAAGAGCAGAAGAAGAACATTGCTCGAGTGAATTTCACATCCTGGCTGCAGTTAATAATTCTGTTGTCTGTATAACCAGCACACTACCTGGAGTCACTCCCCCAGTGCATTGCATAGATCTTGGCCAGGTGGCCCCTGAGAGTGCGTCGCGTCCGCATCTGTATCCGGCCCACCGAGTCCAGACCAGCTGTGATCTGCCAAAACACAGGAAGAAGTGTCAGCGGTTACACTAAAGGCTCACACACACTCATCAGTGGACACCAAAAACAGGCCATTATCTGTCGACGAGGCAGCGGGGCGAACGTTAGACGAGCTCACGCTGCTGAACGTCTGTGGGATATTTATATGGATCCAATGACAGCATGTGTAAATACTGACACACTGAGATCCCCGGTTTTTATTCTGATTTACTTGAGATATAATTGATCAAATTTATGTAATTTTTCACACATTATTCACAAGTAACACGTGTGGCAAAAAGATCTACCAATGAACCGAATGGTAAATGCATTTATAGATATATAGTAACCTTAAACTCGTACCTGTGACAGAGTGGAGTCACTGCAGGCTTTTCTGGCATCCTGCAACGTAACAAAACGGGAAATGTTAGCGTATTCAACCACCACGTAGCAAACGGCTCATCAATGTGTTTAAACCTGCTGTGATTCACTGCCAGTCGCAGAGATGATCAAACAGCAATCACACAGACCGACTGATGTTTATTCAAGTGACGGTCTGACAAAAGTTACACACGTCACAGTGTCGCTGCATGCAGTGAACACACAGAGGCGCACGTGTGATGTATGCACACACACAAAAACAACAACAACAATATAAACAAAAAAGCACAAACAGCATGTCGTCGTACCCGAATCTGATTGCGTAGTTGCTCAGCTTCCTGTCGCAATTGTTCCAGCTCGCTCATTGTTTCGCTGATGGGCCACGCTCTGCTCCAAACACCGACTACGCTGGGAAAACACACGCATGCAAACTCACACGCACACACACACACACACACACACACACGCACTCACGCACACTTTACCAGCTGACGCCTGCAAGAAAGACAGAAGAAACACTTTTAGGTTGAAGGATGGGAAACAAACACAAGTATCCTGTTTGGGTTCACACCAAAGAAGAAGGTGCTGCAGAGGGTGGGGCCGGGCGGAGCTCCAAGGGTGGTCTGGCTCTTCAAACACCCTCCTCAGTCTGGTTCAAAAGGCCATCTGAGCCAGGCTCTGACCTTTACTGGCTCAATCAGCCTTTTGTGTTGCTGCATTGCACTGGCTGCTCCGCCCGCAGTCTGTGTTTTTGTGTTGAATGTGCTCTGTTGTGTACTGTGGGCAGATCTGGATTGTCTATTTGATAACATGTCCAAGTGGGGAAAGAAAGCATATATTTTTTAGTTTGTGTGTGAGTGTCTATCTAAATGTGTGTCAGGGTTAAGTGCGTCATCCCTTTGCAGATGCATGCGCACAAACATGCACGCGCACATGCCGGTTGCCACTTCCTTTACCTTGGGGAGTCTGAATGTGGGTCACAGAGCACTTACACACTCCTTGGAAATGTTTGGACAGCAACCCCCCTCCACACGGCTCCAACATACCTCGCCCCGCCCCCTGACTTTCCACTCTGTTTCACAGTCCAGAAGACAAACTCAGGGAGATTAAATTTGTAGTCCCGTTTTCTAAAATTCAACAATTAAACCAAGTTCAGTCTTTCCTCTTCACAGGAAACAGTGCAGATGTAACGAGGAGGATGTTTGTGTTTCAGCTTCAGTTTTGCAGATGCTTTAAAGCCGTGGTACACGAGGTAATTCATGAGCACAATCGTGGAAAAAAAGGCAGGTAAACAACATAAGATAATGATACAACACAACAGAGACCTCGACTGCTCGTCGTGGCCTTGGCTCAGCCAACGGGGTCTTTGACAGGCACTGCAACGCTCTCAGCGCTTCTCCAGCTGACGCAACCCCCACTAAGAAGGGTCTGGGCGTCAGCTCTCCAGTGATGTGCACCCACGCTATCACTGCTTTGGATCCACTACCCTGTACCTCTCTGCCACGTCACCATGTGCCTCTCGTGGAGGACCATAACACCCAGTTTGACCTTCTCCACCTCCTGGTTATGCTGGGAGATGACTTCATAATGCTGACAGACAGAAGGATATCCAACCAGAATAAAACTGCAAGCACTGATTTATGGGAGTGTCACATGAATGTTCATATTCCAGTAGTGATTATTATTCATTCAGCAGCTAAAACAGAACACATGAAAGTGCTGTCGTAAGCACAAAGACAGGCAAAACACACGCTCATACAACATTTACGTGTAGTGACTTACAGTTGTGAAACTCGGGTTGTTTGTGTATGTGTGTATTTTTTCCCTCCACTTGTGTGATTTGAGTCATGCGTGCAGCCAGTGAGCTGGCCTACAAAGACCTAGATCATGGCCCAGGATCAGCCGCAACAAAAGCGGAGCTGTGTGTTGCAGCTGCCCATTGTTTAGTATGTGGTGCCAGTATAGCAGATAGGTCTGCTTGGCACCGCCGCCATATTTGGGGCCTCTGCGATAGGCCACGGGAGGCCACAATTGCTACTTCTCTGCACAACATCCAAGCACACAGCCCTCCGTGCATTCATTCATCTTGTTCAGCCTGGTGCTCCCAGTGGCCGACAGGACACCGCGGTGCCTAAACTGGGATAAAACATCTGCTGCCTGCTTCAAACTGTGGACATGTAAGACAGAAAGGCACTGGTGGAAATAATCACAAACGCTACATTTTATTTTGAAAACTGACCACAGGCATTTTCGGCTGCTCCCTTATTTCCCAAAGGATCAGGACAGCGGACAGATGTGCATCTTTGATCGTGCAAAGACTCCAGGCCTGGGCCCAGCACTAGCTGCTGATGCCCCGAGCCCGGGTGTGTCTCCTCCTGGTCTCATACCGCAGAGCTTTCACATTACAGGTGAATGTGTCACCTGGTAAATCACTGAGAATAATCTCAACAAACAGCTTAAGCATCACTCAGTGTTTGTGCACAAAATGTTTAGCTATAAAGCCAAAGTGACTTTTATTTAATAACTTCTCATTAACAGCAGCAATCAAATGTAAGGAGTAATGACTTAAGTACTGTTCAATATAGTTCACAAAGTGTTTCACAAAGCATCAAATCATCAGGACAAAGAACATTTTAATTAAGACACGAGAAATCTATAAAATAAATAAAAACTACAATATATTAAAATGACATTTAGATTTGTTACAGTAACAGAAAAAACACACATGGCCTCAAAGCCTGCAGTATAATAATCTTTTTTTTTGAAACTCACTGTTTTTAGTTTCTTTGAATGTTAATTAATAGTTTAATAGTTTGACTATGATACTGGCTGCTGTTGCTGCTTTTATGACTTAATCAATACTGCGAACCTGTCTGTGTTTATCATGTGTGAGGAATACAAACGTTATCTGAACTGTATCCAACTCCAAGACACATAAGTTCACTCCTCGCTCACTAAACTCTACATCCGTGTCAGACTGTTCAGTGTCTGCTCCTGCAGACACACAGACACAGTAGTTCATGTTAAGGCAGAACTACACCTAAGGACAGCATGGGAACTCCAAAGGCAAATCCTATGAGATCTGAATCAGAAAAATCCAACTGTGAGAACACACAGTGGTCTAGTTTGGTTAACAGAGCTGCAGCTTTAGGGGCACGGCAAAATGAAATGAGCAGGTTTACCAACATCCAGGTGTGGACACACTTGGGCCTGCTGTGAGCACCTTATACCAGTGCTTACAGTAAGTTGTCCATATTATGACTTCTGAAATCATATCTTATACCTGTATACAGCACAAATCCTCTTATTATTAAAAAGAATGACTTACACCTTGTGATAAAATTTTCATTACTTGGAATCAATCAGTGCTCTAAACCAACGTTTTTCAGGCTCTTGTCTAGTGAGCACTCAAAGCACTTTATACAATATGCCTTGTTCACACAAGGTCTTTTTGCTTTGTCTAAGTGCTCTATCACCCTCAGATGAAGGCATCAATATCTGGGATCGAACCACCGAGCTTCCGATTACTAGATAAGATTGACTAGTATTAGATTTTTTGTTTGTTTGTCTTCAGCTGATGCCACGTGCTGGGTTATTTGTTAGAAAACACACCAAAAAGACAAAACGTGATTTGTAGTGAATGTGCACCTACTGAAATGAGTAGGAGGCAGCAGGGCAACTCCACAGGTGTGAACTTGTTCAGGTGACCTACAGACTATTCCAGACATCTAGAGAATGAAGCAAATATCTGAAAAATGTCCCGTATGGTGAGGCTTCCTGCAATAACTAGAGCACATATGAAACTGCACAGGAAATATGCGCCATGATTATGATTTCATTGCTTCCACACTTGTTCTGAAGTAGGTTAATGCTTAAATAAAACCCCCCCAAAGCGTCACACTGCTCTGGGTCAAAGCAGAGGCCCAAACCCGAGCATACTCAGTTTATAGTAGGACATGAACCTCTGCGAAACACCGAGCTGCGGACATTTGTGGTCATCCTTCCGATCATCTTATCGACCAATCAGCTAGCCGGTCTAGCTTTCCCCACATTTAAAAGCTTTTTGTTTAAACAGTGAAACACTTTACTATGCAAAGACCAAAAGCAAAATGTATTCCATTTTTACAAACGTGTAAAGACACTGAATACATCTGTGACACACGGACCAAAGAGCAGGAGCCAAACGGCGCGGCACCAGTTGATGCTCAGAGGAAGGCTGTCATGTATATTTAGTAGAAAAGGAAAAGAAAATCTACGCAGCCACATATGAGAGAACCAGATGTATGAAATGGAAATATCTGAACTGCTGTCTGCCCAGTGAAGGGTTTTGCCCCTACAGTTCCGCCTGACAGTGTGTAAAAGGCCGCGTTTGGTGAGCAGAGAAATTTCAACAACGTAAAGCTTTTAGCTTAGAGAAAGAAAACAGCGCAGCCCGGGAACAGTTATTTCAACACTGCTGCCTGGAGCGAACCAGCTAACGGCGGTTTTTGCATATCAGCCGAGTTCAATGTAAAACAAACAAAAGCAGCCGCGACCAGAGCAGGAAATAGCGTTTGTAAAAGAAAAATAAAAAAAAAACGCCACCAAAATATCAAGACTTGAGTGCACGTCCTCACCTGAAAACAGGCGGTTTGGGGCTCCGTCCGTCCTTCAGTCCGAGTCACACCGATCCGTTTTCACACGACAACCATGGCCACAGCTGTGAGGGAATCGCAAAGGGAGCCGTGCTAATTTTAAGCCCGTTTTAATCGGTTTAAATGGTCAGAAGCGAGCGCGACTCGTGTCGGATTTGACTAAAATTTTCACCAAGCAGGCTAATCACCACACCCATGAAAGTGGGAACATAGCAACAGCCTACGCTGAGGGGTGCCCGCTACATGACACATTCATATTCATGTTTCCTTGTTAATACAACAACTTATAGTGTAACAATGTCGTACTAAATTAGTTATAATTACGTCAATAATCTCGAGGAATCATTAACAACACTTTAACTAGCTCTAAAAATATCTATAATGACTCGTACACCCTACGGGCGAAATGGTACCGCCTGGCAGCTCCCTCTACAAAAAGGAACCGAATGGGATACAGGAAACAAATATTAGACCTAAAAAGCCAGTCATTGTAGTGATTCAAACGACAGTCATCTAAGGTTTGCAAACTCCACCTTTGCCCTCTCATTCAAATACAAACTGAGTAAATAACGCAGACACTGCAGTAGAAGTGAAAGGTGAGGAGACTGCAGTGTTTTTAACAACTTCACGAATGTAGTCTGTCAACAGCAACAGTTGTGACCACATAGACTAGCGATGGCTGAGACGTGAAGGTACCTGCAGGTCTGCTGTAGAGCTTCGCACCGTGTAAGGCCAGACAAGAAATGAACCGATTAATCAAAATCAAAAATGAGTGGTAAGTGCAGCTCTAAAATGTGTATGACAAACATAGCTCGCTCTTCATCATCAAAGTAGCAGAAATATTTGTCTACTTTCTCTAGTCATCCTTTGGTTTCTTGACAGTTTAATGGATTTCGTTGCTTTACTATTCAGACAAATCTAATGAGTGAGTTAGAATTATAAATCTGTCTAAAACAAACTGAAATCCCTCAGGAGACAGCTGTGCCAAGTCTCACCCTGGCACACAGCAGTTGGCCTGCAGTGGGTTCATTGAAAACGATCTCTCTCCATTAGGACAGGATGAATATTTAATGGGGCCAATGAAAGGGAGCAGTGGGATAGGCTTTTCCATATCTCTGCACGAGCCATAATCAATGGAAAGGAGATGAAAGTTTTCCAGCGCCTGGTTTCCTTTCGGAGTTGCATGGGGGCAGATTAAGTCTAATTTAATTCATACACACAGCAGTAGTATGAGGATTAGGATTACCATGATAGCAGAGACATATGCCTTGGATGGTTTGCCATTAGTGCCAGTGGGATTACATTTTCTTTATTTTACAGTGTTAATTTGCACAGCCTCGGAACAGGATATTATTCACAGTATGTTTTATTCATTAGCCTGTATTCATACATTAAAACCACACATTCTACAGCACTTAGCAAAATAGAAATTCGATCCGTAGGATGACACCTGCCAAAACCACAATCAATAATTTGCCCATGTGTTATAGAAAATACATCTTATCAGTCATAATAAAGATAATCAGAACATTTAAGTGGATTTAGTATTACTGTTTCATTTATAGCGTGCTTGTAAAGTTGTACTAACAAGTTTAAGCCAGCCGGTTTCACAGATGACATAATACTGGGTCACCCTTTAGCGTTTTGTCAGATCATGTCTGAAGTTACGCAAAAATAGACTCCTAATTGCACAAGGTAGAGCTAAATCATGCAGCCTGAACACCGCTACAGCTCAGCTCTAGTCATGCGCTACATTAGTCAACACTGAGTGCTGTCGTTTTTTTTGTTTTGTGTTTTTGTAGTGTTTTGGATCAGAGATTGGTTTTAAATGGAAGATAACTGCCTAAGAAGAAGTTAGCTTGTGTTCTCTCTGTATAGTGAGCAAAAAAGACTGAATTCATTAACCAGCTGAGAATCGCAGTCAGTGTGTCCAAAAGCACATCCTAGGCCAATCAGGTCCCTTGGTCCATTGCTTAGCAACCAGGAAGGAAGAAGCAGGGTTGGGTTGGGGGGAGCAAATTGACACTGTAAAAATAGAACATCAATAGCCTGGTGTGTGAAAAAAAGAAAGACACACATGTTGCCGAGGCTATAAATAGTTTCCTGGAGCCTGGAACAGGTATTGTGTACAGTAGCTTTGTCGTGTTGTTGTACATTTTTGCATTTATTCGAATTTAGCAACACAGCTCAATGCATAGCAGTCATGCAAGTGAATAACATCATTTGAATTTTACGATGATTTTATAGCATAGGAGAAACAGCAAGAACTGACGTACCTGTATACTGCTGACTACAAGTCATCCCAAAACCATCAACAGGTCGGCACAATTTAGATTTTTCTGTTTGTCAGCGTGGATACAAAATTCTCAGCATGCTGTAATAATACATTTCAGCGTATTATCACTGACGTTTTTGGAAATCCATAAGGGGAGGGGGTTAGGGTTTGTTTTTCATTTTAGTTAATAAATAATAATAATATAAAATCACCAGGATAATATCTGATCTTTCTGCCTCATATCATAAATCTGTGTGCATATTGTTCAGGGGAATTCCAGTGATCTTTTCTCATATTACACCACCTTTATATATGACATTTTTAAACTGGGTAATGCATGTGTCTTGTGTAGAACAGTGTGCTCAAAAATAGATCTATCATATCCAATTCAGTTTCACAGGACTGCTCAATAATGACCCCAAAACGTGGGGGATCCGATCGAGTGGAGATAATGGGACGTCAATCCCCCACCTCCTAAATGTTGGGTTTTTTTTAATCCCGATGTTTCGATTTTAGGCCACATGCCATCACACCCCCATGTAATACTTTCACAGTATCAGAGGCAATTAAAATGTGTAGCAACAGTAAAAGGCTTTATCGGGGCCGTCTTATCCACCAGACATCTCCCGGGGAGGCAGGCCGTTGTCAGGGTAACCCTCACAAATGGCAACTGACGTCAAAAAGGTAGGAGAAATACCAGGGAGAGCCAGAGCTGCTATGCATAATGGATTATTGAAAAAAAGGCCCTCTTGAAGAGTGCAAAGTGACTTAAAATATGCGTGCCTTGCTGAGCTCACCAGTCCTGTCTCACTCTGTGTGATGAGGGAAATAGATGTTGGCAAATTCTGGGTTTACTTGCAGACTGCCACAGCTTAGCCTTGATTGGCTCTTGTTAAATTATGTATTTTGAGTAAAAGCTTGATGGAGAACAATCTCTGCATTTGGACACATAATGGTCTATATCCTGTCCTGTGACCTCTGTGTCATTTGTCAAAGTGCTGTGCCACTCCTCATTCCGTTATGTTTTGCTTCCAAAGAGCCAGGCTGCTTTCTGGAGCAGTGGGTCCAGGCTTCCCGAAGGTCTTTCAAACTTTTTCTTTGGACATTGTCTGCTTTGGGTGCAATACGTGGTGCAAAAACATGGCATATCTCAGCATAGTGTGCAGTGCGTTATTAAAAAAAAATGTAGGAGACTGGCCTACAAAAACTATCTACAGCAGAGGATCAGTATGCGAATCAAATCTAGGAAAGACCTGACACATGATGCATTTGAGAGATGCATCTTATGTTCAAGTCTCACAAATGGTCTCAGAGGAAAGGTGTCTGTCAAGAGCCATTCTTAAGGAAGGGAAACAGAGAGAGGTGAAGGCTGAGGTTTGCCAAATTACACAAGAACTGGACAGAAAATCAGTAACAACAGGCGTCTGGAGTGAATCCTAATTCGAAAGTTTATGTTCAAATTGTTGTCAATATTTACAGAAGAGGTGAGGAGACACTGTGTCTTCAGCTCTGCCATGGTTTTGACGCTTCGGGGGTCTTGGCAATTGATGTCATTATGAACTCATAAAAATAACATGAAGGGTTTAGGTTCTTGTCTAATCTCAGTGCTATTCCTGGGCCATGAGAGCGTCACACAGCAGCAGCTTGGCGAAGAACCCTTCTGTGATCATGCCTCGCGTGTTGTGCTAGGAATCACACTCCTCGATCAACGACTGTGAAGTCATGTACTGCTGCTGTCCACATTGGTAGAGCAAAACAGAAGTATCGACATGTAATACAGAAGTGACACTGTGTCCATTTTGGAGAAGATAATACATCTATATGCATAGATCTGTGCGATGCCATTATTATGACATCATTGACTTTCTCACATAGAATAAAATCAGGTTTAATTTTTTTTTTGCCCACGAAGCTTTATGTCTCCAGCACACAACATTAAATTACAAGAAGAAAAATTTAGAGCAAAAGTGTTTTCTATAATGTGAATATCCATGTTAAAATCAAATAAATGTACTAGTGTCCAAAAATTTATCTATTTGTTGAAAAGCCGCATATTTTTTGATGCTATATTTTCACTGTGGGTTTCAAAAGTACACAATTTCCACATTTATTAATCAAACAACACCCTCAATTACATTAAGGAAGAGCAACCCTTAATCTTTTGATTTAGGGAGAAGCTGCGGAGGAAATGTGCAAACAGAAGAAGTGAGAGTGTTTCGGTCCAGGGGAATCCCAGACACTTCTGTAAACCAGGGGTGCAACAAGCAGCACAAAGCATGAACCAACATGCTATGAGTTTCCAAAGAAGTCGATCACACATCAGTATTGGGGGAGTGAGGAATAACCTTGGTGTGCTAATACCACCCTTTGCAGAGGCCGCCAAACAGCTTCAACCCTCCAACGCCACATGATCATTAATTTATTACCACGAGCACACTATTTCTTTCCCTTTTTTTTTGACTTGACATTTTGGTGCACCACAGATTTTTAACATGAGATAAGATCTACAGTTCACCTCTGCACTGCCTCAAAACCAACTTTATACCAGGTACAAAGTCTGAGTTCACAACCTCACTAAACACCACAGTCACCAGCGTTTCCTCTATTACACTGCAAACACCAAAAGGTGAGTTAAGTGCCAGAAAAATATCTGAGTTTTAGTAAGGTTTATACTGCAGACTTTAGCCTTGGAAACATAATTTTTCTATGTAAAAAAATATTTAAATATTATATTAAAACAGTAGGAATATTCTCATTTGTACTTAAATGTATACAGTATTCCTGAGTAAGTACATTTTCCCTGGTAAATATAGAGGTTACTGCGCCAATACATCATTGCTGTGAATCAAAAAGCTTGACATTAAAAAAAAAAAAAGAATGAAAGCTTTTCTACCTTTTCCAGTGCAGATGAGGAGGGGAAGTGGCTGTTTC